TCCAGACACCCTGCGAAGGAAACTCATTTCGGCCGCTTGTATCCGCGATCTCATTCTTTCGGTCACTACCCAAAGCTCGCGACCATAGATGAGGGTAGGAACGTAGATCGACCGGTAAACCGAGAGCTTCGCCTTCTGGCTCAACTCCCTCTTCACCACGACAGACCGGTTCAGCACCCGCATCACTGCAGATGTAGCACCAATCTGCCTGTCAATCTCCCGCTCCTTTCTTCCCTTGTTCGTGAACAAGACCCCAAGTTACTTAAACTCCTCCACTTGGGGCAGAACCTCCTCCCCGACCCGGAGAAGGCACCCTACCCTTTTCCGGCTCAAGACCATGGTCTTGAATTAGGAGGCACACTCTTAACAAAATACTTTTTTACTTTCATAAGTGATTTCTTGGACGGCTAATTTTAACTTTTGAGTAAAACAGTTTTCTTACTTGAGCACAACTTTTGGGTACGGTACCCACCTCTGAATGTAGGACAAGTTAAAAAGACCCCTCTCATCCAGTTTTATAGAAAACATTTTGAGGTAAAATATTACAGAAGTCTATGAAATGTGGGTGATGGTGGGGCAATGCCATCACCACATCACCTGCTGGACCACGTGGCTCTTTGGAACAGATCCTCCAGATCCGGCTCCCTTCAAAGAGCCGTAAACCCATCTCTACTGGCCAGTCGGCTTCCAGCATCAATCCTGGAGGAAAGTCTGAGATTAAACCTGTGCTCCTCTCCTCTCTCAGCTCGTCCTGTCAAGAACCGACAAACCGGCTCTGAGTGGCTTTTCTAAATCTCAGGAGAATTACAGGAGCAGCTACAMAAATAGGATGAAACAAACACCGTTTTTACCCTTTACCCAGCCCCAGAAAAAGACCAGGAATATCTCTTTATTACTGCCCCCAACGATAGAGCTAACAGATCACACAAAGATGTGTTTTTAGAACTTTGCCTTTCACTAATGGAGTCAAATAGGAAGAGCTAAACACACAAATGATTAAACCCTGATAAAACTTTGGTCTGCTTCTTTATTCTCTCTGCTAAGTTCATTGTTGTTTTTTTTTACTCAAAGCAGAGCACAGCTGTCCAAACCACCTAAGTCTGTGCTTTGTCTGCCTTCACTTCAAAACTCCCGTCCCGGAGTCAGAAAAATCTCAGCCTAAATGGGAAACAGAGAGCGGCCGGTGAGAGTGGCTGGCCTGTTTTTGGACGCAGTGGTGGACATCAAAGGCGTAGCAGAGACCCCCCCCACCCCCCTTTCAGAACAGCAGCTACATGCCATTCCAATAAGTGCAGCACATTTTGGATCTGAAGTTCAAAAGAAGCTGGTGAGGGCAGACGGGTCTCTGAGGGGACCCGCCACCCGCAGGTCCGGCTGCTGCCCCTGCTTCCAGCGCCAGGACCGAACGGTTCTGCCACTTCTGCTGAAGATGGCTAAAAGAAAGCTCGACTTCCCGTGTTCGTTTGTATTGTTAGGAAAATATCTTATTGTTGAATCAAATGGATTTTAGATGGAAACAAAAAAAAAAAGCCAAAATTGAGCCCAAATTGGGTCAGATTCTGGTTCTGGATCAGACTCTGGCTCCAACACGCCGGATGGACAAGCGTTCCCTTGTTGACATCTTTTAAATGATTTCTAAATAAAACATTTCTTCGCCCCTCTCTCARACGGGAGTGGACTGGTCTGGAAGCTGGAGGGGGGCGGGGCTTGAAGCTCCTTAAAGGAACAGTAACACAACCGGCTGCTTTGAGACTAGAGATGGGATAAATGGCTCTTTGAAGGGATCCGGATCTTGGGGAGCTGCTTGTTTCATAGAGCCRTTCAAAAGAGCCGTTCGATTTTGAACGAGTTACGTCATCACATAAAGAAATACGTGATGACGTCATCCAGTCACGTAGGTGGAACCATGTGTTTGTCAAGCGGAAACCCCCACTTCCCTCGAGAGCTTCTGTACTCCACCGCTCTGCCTGTTTTCCGTGAAAAAGCTAAGCAGGAGCGATTTAAGTTTGAAAAATAAAAATTATGAGGAATAAAAGAAATAAAACTACAAATGGCTCGTTACTGCCTGAGACTCGGCTCCTATCGTTCGTTGTAAAGAGCCACTCAGAAGATTCAGATCGTTCGCGAACGTCAGAGACACGCACCAGAAAAGTGGTGAAAGAGGGGCTGGTAAAAGTTGAGGAATKCAGACCAAAGTATTGTAGTTCCACTTTATAAAGATTCCAAATGAATGGTTTAAATGTGAAAAGGAAAGATTTGAATGTCTACTTTGACTCCGTTCCCTCTTTTATCAGTCTAAATCCAACACATGCGCGTCACATCACTATAACGTTGATAACAATAAAATCTTTATTAATCCATCAAGAAATATAAACAAGGAAACGATCCAAACATCTGTTTTCTGTTGCAAACGCACCATAAATTCAWCAAGTTTCACATTCAGACCAAACAGTGACAGAAAACAAAAGGTAAGAGAACATTAGTGCAACGTAACGAGGACAGCTTAAAGCTTCTCGTCCAGATCTTTGGTATAAACTTTGGCCTCACAGGTTTGATTGATGAAGTTGGTTCTGGCTGCAGGATCCGCGAGACAAACCCAGCTTTTGTTTTATTACTTTTTTTAAATGACGTTTTTTATCTTGTAAAACACAAAACGCTGTCAAACAAGTGTTGACTCGACCGGGCCTGACGTGTTGCATAAACACATGTATCATCCACCTACAGCCCTTCCTGTGCTAATCAAACGATAATTGGTGGGTTCGGTTTCTGTTGGCTCAGGCGCCGCATACTGCGAGTGCTTACCTTCACAACCGTAACGCAGTTTGTGAAAACGAGAACCCCGACAATTAAGCTGTTTAGACTCTGCGTCTCGCCACGAAACATGCCGCAACACCTCTCTCTCTGTCTTTTTTTTTTTTTT